TCAAAAATGATTCCTAGTTTTGGGTCATGAAAAACTGTGAATAGTGATGCCATTCACTGAGCTGGAGATGACTGGAAAGAGAAGCAAATTCTATCCCTGGCTTGAGTTTGATATATTCATTTTTTTAATTATTTTATTGAGGTATAATTGACATACAACATTATATTAGTTTCAGGTGCAGAACACAATGACTTGCTATTTGTATACATTGGGAAATGATCACCACAACAAATCTAGTTACTATCCAAGTTTGATATATTCTTATTAGATATCAAGCAAAGATGTCATGTAGTCAGCTGGATATGTTAAGTAATGTACGGGCACTGGAGATACAATGGTAAATAGAAGAGCCAAGCTGTAATCTCATGGAATTTACATTCTTCCACAAGTGATTAGGGCAACTTGAGAAGAATCAGAATAAAGAAGTATTTAAAACCCATGCGACCAGATGAAAGACATTAAGGATTAGGTGCAAATGGAGGAAAAAACACTAGGATCTAGGATTGAGGCCTAGATCACTCCAATGTTGTTTTGTTAGAGACAGGTTTTTTGGGTGAATATGCTACACTTTAGATGCTATATTAGATTTCTGCTATGCTGAAACATTGCCAGAGTTTATGGAAATTTCCCCTTAAAAGACTTTATGTCATCATTCATTCATGCTTCATTCAATAATTTAAAAAAGAAGAAAATCGTTAACAACATCAATGTATTGATTTAGGTTGACAGGTCTATACCTGGAAACACTACAAGAAACATAACAATACTTCTCTTTGAAAATAAATCTCTAATACAGCACTCTATAACTTTCTGCTAGAACTCAGGTCTGTAGACGTCTGTCTGCCTAAACTGGGAAAAGAACTATATAAGTTTGCATCAAGCTCTACAGGATTGTAAAAGAAAAATGAGTCAAGACCCCAATTGGGTATATCCAAAGTTAAAATATTATTAACATATCTCCTTTAAATGCAGATTTTCTAAATTGTTATCCAAGAAACCTCTCACCTATTTTCTTCATTCTTCAAGTATTTCTTTAATTCCTTCCACTGGGTCCAAAAAAGAAGGAGGAGGAGGGGAAGGAAGAAATGAAGGCAGAAGAGGAAGAGGGGGTACAGGGGGTACTGCCGTGGTGGCGCAGTGGTTGAGAGTCCGCCTGCCGAGGCAGGGGACTACGGGTTCGTGCCCCGGTCCGGGAAGATGCCACGTGCCGCAGAGCGGCTGGGCCCGTGAGCCATGGCCGCGTAGCCTGTGCTCCGCAATGGGAGAGGTCACAACAGTGAGGGGCCCACGTACGGCAAAAAAAAAAAAAAAAAAGGAAAATCTGTTTTCTCTAACTCTTCAAAAATCAAATTGCGCATAGGAAGTAAATAAATAACTAACTCCTGTGGACTGCAGGAGCTACTGAAGCAGATATTACTGGACACACACATCCTACATACATAAGCTCCCTTCATTACTATATATGTATGCAAATGTAGGCAATGTGCTTACGTATCCATATTTTTATTAGCAAAGATGCTATTTTATACAGGTTGCTCAAGGATGCAATAACTAGAATTTTTTTTTTTTTTTTGTATAATCATGACATTTTTTTCTTTAAGATACTCTTTTCTCTTTTAAGAAATACTTTTGGTTTATGGTCCACATGTTGCCTAGAATCAAAGGTTATTCAAACAAAGCCAATTCAAACGTGATATTAGTGTATAGTTGGAAGGAGAAATTTCAGCTTACTTATATGCAATTTAAGTTCTGAAATGGACTACATATGGCTACAATAATGAGTCCATTACTGAAAGAAGCACTTTAGCAAAACCTATAAACCTATATGAGATTATATATCTGCACCATGCACACGTATCATCTTTATCTCTCCAAATATCACAAGTGCCATTTTCATTTTAGAACAGTTAAGGATTAAGAAATATTTTCATCTTTCGCAGTGACTGAGAGTCCGCCTGCCGATGCAGGGGACACGGGTTCGTGCCCCGGTCCGGGAAGATCCCACATGCCACGGAGCGGCTGGGCCCGTCAGCCATGGCCGCTGAGCCTGTGCGTCCGGAGCCCGTGCTCCGCAACGGGAGAGGCCACAGCAGTGAGAGGCAAAACATCTTTTCACCAGTATTGTAAAATTATCGAACTGACACAATGTATGAAATATAGATGTAATCCAACAGTCTTGTGACAGTTCATATTAGTTCCCTGTAAATGATTACAAAACCATATTCTTATTTAAAAATAAAGAAAATCTGGAGAACAAAGGCTAAATTCAATACATATTCTCATACATAATAGTAAGGAAAAATCTGCATTTGGTTAATTAATCTGTATCGAATGAGATAATCTTTATTTACATCCCAAATAGAAAAGTTTGCCTGTAGTTCTCAACTAACTTAACATTTATTCTCTACAGATTCCTACAGACACAAGATACAGAAAAATCATAAATAATAATGGCACATAACTTTCATGAGGATGCAAAACTCTAACATTTTTCATATACTATAAAAATGCACATATAAATAACCCACCAAGCAAATTTCAATGCAAATCTATGTATCATTTGTCACTGAATAAAATTAATTTCTGTGTCTAGCACAAGGAGAGTCAGTATATCTTTGAAATGGTACAAGCTTCTCTAAATTTGAAATTCATGGGGAGAATAAGCACACACTTCTAAGAAGGATAATAAGTAACTAGAAATCATAGAACCCTGGAAAAGTAAGAAGGCTTAGAGATCCTACAAACAACCCCCTCATTATATATGTAAACACACAATCCCAGTGTGTTGAAATAGCCTAGAGGGCAGTGTTGTCTACATCCCAAATTTTTAACAATCCCCATGGAGGGGCTGTCATCATTAGGGGGTAAACCAAGGGCAATCCAATGTCAAACGTATGACTTACATACTAATTCAGTAAGTGTCCACAGTTTCCATTGCTTTGGACATAGTAGATGCTAAATACAAAAACTAGTTTCACACACACAAGAATTTAATACTACCTTTTCAACTCCTCAATCTTGGGCATTTTTCACTTCATTACTATGAATGTTGCTGCACAGTTATGGCCCAGACACAAACTACCCCCTTATCCTATAATGTTAAAACAGAACAAAGGTCCTAGGTGTATCTGTGGGACAGGAAGGGCAAGGTGAGGGGAGAGCGGGAAAGAAGAGAGGGAGCTAGGATACGAAGGAGGGAGGGAAGGGGAGAAATGATGTCTTGCTACTGCTGTTCCAGCAAGGTGGTTAATTGCATTTGTTTCATATATCTTCAAACACCCTGGTACATTAATTACATTCTGTAACACCAAGCTCTTCTGATTCCCTCTGTCACTTCCACTGAGCAATTTAATTGTATTCCAGCTAGCTACACAACGACTGAAAAAAAAAAAAGTTGGTGATAGTTCTTAGTTTATAATGCATTTCTGGCATTGCAGTATATAAATTCATGGCTTGTGAGGACATATCCAAAAAGTTATATCAAAGTCTTATTGTGATAATCAAAACACTTGGGACAAAACCTTTTTGTGATTGTAATATAAATGCATTACAAAGGTAAATGTATTGAAGAAGAAAATGTCTGGTGAATGATTAGATATGATTAGAGATATTGCCACAGCAGAATTCACAGTGATTTACTCCTATACATCTACTACTTAGAAGGGAAAAAAGAAAAAAAGCAGTGTGCCCACATGAACGCCTCGCCTACTATCGCTGGGGGTACGGGTACTTATGTAGTCCAGGATTGAAAACAGCCACTTGACTGAAGGTAAACTCATCCGTATTGCCTCATGTTTATAGAAGGGCTTCCTTTCTGAGTCTGATACATGGGGCTCTGTGCAACAGCAGCTGCCAGGAACAAAGTTAGCTCCTACAGGCGGGCAAAAATAGGCAGTGTCCCAAATAATGACTTCGTCCACAATGCAAATATTGGAGGAAAGTTTATGAAGAAACAAGCTACTATAATGGCTCAAGTATCTGGACCAATACACCTCAGATTATTTATAAGTACAGTAATTAAAAATCTAAAGTACTACAATCCACACATGCAGGCAAAAATATGCTCTAATCTTCTCTTTAGACCAATTATTTCCATTGATGTGAAAATTAAAGTCGCTAGGTTAATACCAAATTGTTCTTTTGACTTTCTTCTTTGGAACAAACAAACAAAAAAGCATGTTAACGATTCCTTCCACTCATCATTCAAAAGACCTACAAAAAAGGATTTTGCAATCCTCCCACAGGAAACTGACATCCTATGAAAATACCCCAGGAAACCAAATCTGAACAAAAGACAGGAGAATCAGAGGCAGAATGCTGTCTGCTTGACAGACTGACTCAACCTAGAGGGAGACACCTACAGCACCTGTTTCAGATCCCCATTGTGCTTGCCACTAGGGACTGAGCTGAGCGTTCCGTACCCACAGAAAGCCCACAGCTTCTGCTTCCCCCTTCCTGGAGCCTCGCCCTGTCTTACTTTTGACAGTTTTCTCCCTATGATCTAAATCTTCATTCTGATATCACGCTAGGAGAGCACTTACCAGCATGCAGGTGATACACATTGATCCCTGAGATCCCTGTCTCAAATTCCTAACCTACTGCACCTTCACTGGGGTGTCTATTACTTACTTCACTTGAATTTCTAAGCCAAAGTTCAGATACAAGAACAAACCCCAAATGGAGAACAAGCACAAGAGTATTAGACTCTTTCAAGAGATTTACTTTCATATTTCTTTTTCTAACAAAACTGAGAGCCCATCATTTATTACCCAACTCCTCAATTAATTAAGTAAATTACAACAATAGGTGACTCCTAACACGTTCCATTTGCAGCAGTTTAGAAACAAAAGACTTAAAACCTCTGCTTCCCCCAAAGCCCCCATGACTGGCCAAAAGGGACCAAAAGATATAATGTCATTTTATTTATAGCCCACATCCGACTCAGAAAGAAATGTTTTTTTGGGAGGGGGGAGGGACGGGATAGAAACATTTTAACTTACCATCAACCCGAACATATAAAAATCCACAGAGCAGTAGTTGTGTAAACATCAGCCGACTCATTTTGACATATTAAAAAGGATCCAGATTGTTTAAGAAACCAATCCCAGAGAGCAAAAGTACAAAAATAAGTATCAAAAAAAGAGGTAGGTCCAAAGTTTAGACTTTTCCAGCTGCTAATTAAAGTCAAGAAGAGCAAATGGCAAGATCAGAAGGGGTTAGTGGAGAGGTCTTGAATGGGGCACAGTTAGATCCATCCAAATTAACAGAGAGCACTCCCAAGGCTGCTGTATTTCCTCACTGTGGCTTCCTAAATTCCCACGAATTCAGCCCAGCCGGAGGGATTATTCAAGTGTGTCTAACCCCCTCTCCTCAGGCTCCATGGCAATCCAAAGCCAAGTTCGTTCTTCAGAAGTCAAGAAGATGACGGGAGAGGAAAAAGACCTAATTCCTAGAAAGTGTTCCACAAACTTGCCAGCGCGCTGCCGAAAAAAAACATTGGCGTGCCCACTGGTTTCCTTTCCCCCGGTCTCCGTCTGGGTAGCCGCTCCACGTCCAGAGTTTTTTCACTAAACTTCCATAATAAGGATGTGTCAAAGCAACACTTTGCAGGCGGGCCGATTTGGCGGCCCTCTCCTTTGCAACCTCGTTGCCTCCCTCCACCTCTCTCGTTCCCGAAAGAGAGGCAAAGGGAAAAAGGGACGAGGCGGGTGGAGAATCCGAACTCCTACGTGGTGGGGCTGCAGGGAGGGAGGGAAGAGGCGGGAGGGATAGAGGGGCAGGGCTGAGGCTGCTGCCACCCCCCCCGCGGTGCCGCCTCCGAGCGGCTGTGAACCCGGGCGGCGGCAGGCGGCGGGCGGGTGCGGAGCGGGGCGGGTGAGCCCAGGGGCTCAGGAGCGGGAGAGCAGGGGAGCGCGCGGTCCAGCCGCCCGCCCGGGTCTAGCCGCCAGTCCACCTGGTACGGCCGCTGCCGCTGCTCCCGCGGCCCCGCAGCAGAGCGTCCGCCTCCTCCTGCAGCTGCCGCGGGTGGAAGGACTTAGAGGGAAGGCGCGGAGGCGGGAGGGGAGGAATGAAAGCTGCTTGGAGTCTGCCCCGGGGAGGGGGGCGGGGGGTGATGAGGGGGTGCACGGAGCCTCCACTTACACGCTCCACCACCCGCCCGCACAGGGGGCGCCAGCCCGCCGGGCAGTGGGGGGAGGGGGAGCTGGAAAGCCTAGAGTCCTAGTGGGACAGAAATTAACAAATTCGGAGCGGAGGCTACCGGTCAACTCCTTCCCCTTCTCTGCGCCTCGTCGTCCCCCCCTGCTTCCCGCCTCGGGAGGGGATAGGTGGGCTCTAGCCTCCTGCCTTTCGCCGCGTCCCGTTTAATGGGCAGGTAATTTTCTCGGTGAGCGATTTCATGGAAGCCCTTCCTAATTATTCATCCCTCCGTCTGCCGGAGATGCACGGAGATGCACACGCTTTCTGGAAAAAGATCATCCGTCCAGGACCCCGGGTGCAGCCTCATTACCCGTTAAAATCACACAAACATTCACTCTTCACCTTTTAGCAAAATGAGAAGCTGAGCGGGAGGGAGAAAAGGAAAGGAAACAATATAACCACCTCTTGGAGCGGAAAGGTTGTGTCGGGGTGCTTTCTCCGTCGTTAAAAAGGCACAAAAAAGGGGGGAGGGTGATGTACAGAAATCTGTAGTCTCCACTAGCTTGTTTCAGCCAAGATCTATGGCCCCCTGAGGAATCCCGGGTGGGGGGGGAAGGGGTGGCATCCCCTCTTCTGTTACTCAGTTGCCTTATGACCCCCTCAAAGATGAATTTGACGCGGGGCTGAGGGACGCCAGGGAGTTCAGAAAACGCTTAGGATGGAGAAAGGAGATCAGGGGGCTTGGGTGCGGGGGACCGGTACCCGAAGTTATTACCCTCCAGAGACTATCACCTCTGAAAGGAAGTTCGGAAAACCTGAAAACCCAACTGAGCTAACGAAGCTCAAAAACAGCTGAATTGCAGCCCAAAGATGACAAAATCCTGAAAATTAAGGCAGAACCCACCAAGTGAATGCCATTCAGGACCGGGAAGATTAAGGCAGCCCACATTAGATCAAAGGGATGCTAGTGTCTGGGGTGCCACTGGTGTGGCCGGTGGAGCCCGGCCCACGTGTGATCACAGGCTCGCTGGTAGTTGTTTGATGCTAGTTCGGATGATTACAAGGCGGGTTATAAGAACTCACGCAGGTTCCCGAGCCGAGCTAAAAGCTGGATGGTGAGTCTTTAGTTCCCCCTACTGGAAAATATTAGAAAAGATTCTTTCTGTTCGTGGCCCTGTGAAGCAGTTTGAAGAAGAGCCTTTGTCTGGTGGTACATTTTGGTGTTGCCACTCAATTTAGCGCTCCCTTGCCTATTATGGATGTGATATTGTGTGTTTCAAAAAAAATCGTCAGTGACACACAAGTAATTAGGAGAGTTTTTATAGCACCTCTGCATGCTTGAAAATTATGGTAATGAAACAGTCTTGCAGAAGAATAAAACAAGCCACTCTTCTTGTGAAGCATTAAGAGTAATTTCAGCACAATTTTTATATACATTATTTAGTTGTTTTAAAAAAGTGCATTAGTGTGCTGAAGTTAATCACTTGAATTCTCACAGTAATGATTTCTAAATGTATTATTCTTTTACCACTCTAAGAAAAGAAGTGGGGAGGGGAGGGTGAGACAAGTTCACATGCTTTTTTTTTTTTTTTTTTTTAACCCAAAGGGCCAAGTCTAACTTAGATGATATGGTGGTCATGGAAAATGACAAAATTCATTGGATTAATATCTCTCTTATCTATCTTTAATGTTGCCAAATAATTTATAATTCTTTAAATTTTTCATTTTAAACATTCTGACTAGGTTTAAAATCAGGGATTACAAAGTCTACTTTATTCCTCTAATGCACCACCACCACCACCCCCCAATCTCTATTTCAAATTTCCCTAC